AAAAAAAAAGGGTACTGTTTGCGTATTTGTACAACGATTTTGGGGTTCTGCGCCAAAACGCGTAATTCGAATCAAAAAACTTTGCACACTTGTTGACAACAGATCATGCTTTATTCCAAAATAAAATTTACTATATCTGTGCACCAAGTTACTAATAATGTTGGTTGGATATATGGTATTTTTTTGCATATTCCGAGGTGTCGAGGGGAGACGAGTTACTTTTCATAAAGCTGCGTACATCCTCTTTCGTTTAAGGGGGGTTTGGGGGCCACACCCTCTCCCTTGCGGCGCCACCATAAAATCGTTGTACAATTAAGCAAACATTCCCGAAAAATTTTGTTTAAATCCGTATAAATTACTCTATAGAGCTCACAATTTTTTTTTGTGAAATTTACGTATACTGCACTTGTTGCAAAAATTTGGTTTCGGTACTTGAGCTAACTTTTCCTGGACCGGATTATAGATTCCAACACATATGTTACAATTGACGAGGCATCGACCGTACAATTCCCGACATCGACAACCATTTCGGCATTACTGTTCTTCCATAAAACTTGTATTTCTCTTTTCTTTCTTCCTAGCAATGCGCAAACACCAACAGGGGAATTTTCATAAACCTGAATTGGTAAAATTTGTATTCCCTTCCATTTGAAAACGCTTCGTATTAACATGCACACAAAAACCAACCTAACTTCGGCATACAATACATATTTTTAAATACTATTTTCCACGTTATACTAACATTTTATGAAATTAGCTTGGCACTTTTTATACACGTGCTGAATGTACTTCGTAAAAACCAAGCGAAAGGCTCCATCTTGCCGAATTCTGACTCATTTGCAGTCGAAGGGTTCGTTTAATATGCAGAAAGTAGGGTTGGTAATACTTCAAAACTGAACGAACGAATCGCTATTTATTCTTAGCATTCTATTACAATCTTAGTATTGATCTCAAAAAAATTATAGAAAACCGTTGTAGAAAGCGTACAAATTTCTTAACAACTGCGTACTGCCTTACTGGCCGTCTCCACAGGATAAAATTTATTGCTGCCCAGCTGTCATTTTGGTCGCTAGATAAAAGTTATATCAGTTGCAATATTTGTGTTTGTTTAATATATCTTGATAAAAGCATTTGTAAGATAGCTTTGAAAATGTATTTTTGCCGGATTTAATCGCTTAAAAAATTTAGAAAATATGCTTTTTTACATCCAAGTACATAATTACAAATATTTGAACAGGAAACACCTCAATTTTTGCTTTTATATTAAAATAATAATGATGTTGCAGACACGAAGTTTTCGTGCAAATGAAAATGTAGCTGTCAAACTACCAAATTGCCGGCAATAGATGGCAAGATATAAGCTCTGATATATATTGCTCTTGAAGAGCAATGAGCGATCTCCATTGGCTATTTATATTCTAGCATATGTATCAAGATATAAACTTTATCCTGTGGAGACGGGCAGTTAAGGAAATTTGACTCAAGAAAATTTCTTAGCCATTTCTTGTACGTCATTTTATATGGAGTTTTTGCTTTTCTTGAGAGCTGCATACAGGCCTTAAGAATGAAACATAACTAGCCATATAACTTAAATAGTAAGCAGTTTTATACAATTATATACCAAGGTGCGTTCGTGAAAGAAGGCGGATAAACTGATAAATTTAAGCAATATCCCATTATCACTTTAAATGAAGACCCCTTTAGATTAAGTAAACTGAGGTTAAATTGATCAGCTGGCTGACATTTGATTGGCTGATCTTAGTTTAAACCAAGCAGATCGGGCGTTTAAGAATAGTTTAAACCACGGCCGTTCACTGAAAAACCGGCCCTCAGAGGCCAACCTAACCACGGAACTCCACAGGCAACCAACTGTCATTTTGACAGCAAGTTGTAAGCAATGGGCACGTTCAGAAGGCGCAACACCTCAGTAGCTGTTGCGATTGCACCTTCTGAACGCGTTGTTTTGTACTTCTGATCAACTGAACAGTTGCGTGTTAGATGATCGTAATTTTTTTCTGATCATTTGAAACAAAATGTTGTGTGTTGTTGAATTTGACAGCTAACGTATCAAGCCGTTCAGAAGACGCATTACGATCACTGATTTTTTTTAGTAACGGTTGAAGCTACCTAATATGATTTTACAAAATTCACGTTAATAAATGCATTAAATGGAAATATATTGTTATCTAGATGTTCACCATAGTTTACCTTAACTGAATTTGTAACAAAAAATCCCGAAACTTATTGATTTAACTAAATATTAATGCGAGAACAATAGGAGCGTTCCTTATCTCCCAGAAATAGTCAGAAAAAGTCCGAAGTAGTCAGATTTAGTCCAAAAAGCGTTCCTTAACTCAGAAAGGACAGCAAAAATGAGAGAGCAACACTCAGTGAGAGTGATTCTCATCAGTCCGTAGTGGTCGGATTTAGTCAGAAGATTTTTTTCTGGCAAAATCCTGAAAAGTGTCAAACTCAAATGAATTTAAATTAACGGAAATTAAAGAATATGCAAAAAGTGAGAATAATCTAAAAAGTAAAAAAAGTGATTTGAAATTGGAAGGAGGCAAAAAATAATTGATATAGTAAGTGTTTATTGTGCTTATGCTTGTGTGAATGTGTTTTGTACCTACATTTCCATTCTTATTTGACGTTAGCTTTGTTGTTGCCATTTTTTGGACTAAAAGTTTGGTTCTTTGCGTTCCTTTACCTCTCCTGTTATTCTCTTTTAGTGAGCGCATTTTGACACTTTTCAGATTTTAGTCCAAAAAGATAAGGAATGAATCTAATGTACGAAAACCCGGCGTCGCATTTATTCTGCTAGTTGTAGCTAATAGGGCTATCGCACGTGGCGATTTTTCAAGCAACTTTTAGTACGAACGGCCTTTCAACTAATCGCTTTCAACAAAGTTGATCGCCAGCCAACTTTGAGCTCGTTCAACTTTTTTCCTTGCAACCCTGTGTTTGTTTACATTCTGTATACATGCTTTTTTTCTTTTTTACTTTTTTTCTTTTATTTTATCTTTCAGCTTCGCTAAAAGCACTTCTACCAACGCTTGGCTTACCAAACTTACGCCAATTGATATAATTTTGCAATTTAAATTCATTTGCTATAATGTAAATAACACTTCGTGTTGAATCGAAAATCGCCTCGTCTGAATAGGTATGGCAACTTTTTCACTTTCAACTTCTCATTCAACTTCGCACTCAATTTTTGTTGCCTGTCAAATCGCCTCGTGCGAATGTCCTATAACAGGTCTATTCTGCGCTGGTAATAAAAAGTTTGTAACCGGTTAATAAAGTTCCTGTCAATTTTTAAACCCTTTTCGCATTCTGTGTATTCTTGTAACCGGTAAATTTTGTTACCATCTCATAAGCTGACAACAAAGTATTGCCCCGTGAAATATGCAATGCCAGAATTTGCACAATTCTTCATAGCTGAATTGCTGAATATTTTAATTGCATTACCAACGTTCCTAGAATCGCGGTGACAAGAACTGGTAACATTTTTCGGTAATAAAATTTTCCGGTTACAAAATCTTCGGTAACGTGCAGAATAGACCTGTAAGAGTAATAAAAACATGGATGTGCTTGGTGTTGCCAATATATCAGCCTTATGCCGCGTTTTTGCTGCATTTAAAATTCAACATTTAGAACTTTCGGACATATTTTTTCGAAAAGCTTTCATGTCATCGCATTTAGCAAATGCACATTTAAGCGAGTGCGAAATCGTATGCTTTTAACAAACAGCCGTGTTCCAATCGCTTATTTAGATCCGTATCTATCACGATCAGTTCTCACAGTGAAACTAATGTGCAAAAAAACCTACTGAAAAGGGTGTCAATTAGAATTTTGTTACGCACGGGTCGTCGGAAGATGTGTCTTCCAGAACGAATGCCTCTCTTGACTGCCATCGCATCCTCATCATGCATGCCCAGAATCACACGCGTACGCTTGCATTTAAGCACGAGCTAGCTCGCCGAACTATGGGGTGGTTCTTGTGATCCGTTACGCATGCCGTCCGCACCATACAAAAAAATCGTACCCGCCTCTCTCGCCGTCAGGAGATATGACGCTCCCGCCCCGTCCTTACCCCTCCCGCCCAAGTCTGGCCGTTTCTGCACCTCCAAAGTGCTGCCGCTATGCCAGCGGTGTTATCTGGCTGACCTTCCTAAACCCACCCTGCCATGGTCGACTACGGCCAATTATCGTCGACCCCAATCCTCAATGAGCCCCCTTTACAACCCCTACCCCATTCCACCCTTCCGTGTCACGTCCGTCCCTCTCGCATCTGGAAAAATCAATGGCACATTATGTTCACCTTTAACAATTCATGATTTATTCACACCTTTCAGAGCTAATAATTCACGTTGGTCTATCCATATCTCTGATGTCTCTTACAAACAGGTCTATTCTGCACGTTACCGAAGATTTTGTAACCGGAAAATTTTATTACCAAAAAATGTTACCAGTTCTTGTCACCGCGATTCTAGGAACGTTGGTAATGCAGTTAAAATATTCAGCAATTCAGCTATGAAAAATTGTGCAAATTCTGGCATTGCATATTTCACGGGGTAATACTTTGTTACCAGCTTATGAGATGGTAACAAAATTTACCGGTTACAAGAGTACACAGAATGCGAAAAGGGTTTAAAAATTGACAGACACTTTAATTACCGGTTACAAACTTTTTATTACCAGCGCAGAATAGACCTGAAACTAACAACTTACGAGTTACTTAAAACTACCCGGGCCTTTTACAATCTAAGGGCCGGTTACTCAATGTCTGGTTAACACTAATCTCCGGTGAAACATAGTTATCGACGTTATCGACTCCCTGTTGTATGCATGGAGTCGAAGACGTCGATAACGATGTTTAACCGCAGATTAGTGTTAACCGGACATTGAGTAACCGGCCTTTAGTATTGAACTCAGAGTCAGTTTTGCTGAGCCAGTTTAAACTTAAGGTGTCTTCATCAAAAGTGATAAATTCTTGATAAACGTAATAAATTGATAAATTTATCATTTTGATAAATGAACTGTCAAACTTTGTATGGAAATCTATTTAACCAAAGTTTATCACTTTATCAAACAACTTTGGTGGATAAATGTATAAGTTTCAGCAAATTCAACCCTTAAGGGCCGTTTACATACGACTTTCCTCGCTTTGCTTGACAGTTCGAACTTTGGCAACAAAGCGTGAAGCGTATAAAGGTATGTTAAGGCCGGTCCACATAGAACTTTCGCGTTGGCTTTGGCGTTGGCGTTGGTTTGACAGAACGCACGTTAAAAGTATGCTTGCTACAATGAACGCTTGGCGGCGAATCCTTGGGCCACTAAATTAACATATTAACGACAGATAAATTAATATTTCATATCAATAATTGCATTAAAAACGATATTTCTTGCCCGCACTTGATTAAAAAGGAAAAATATTTCACATAATTTTATTTATTCGCAACAGCTGACGAGCGACGCACGCGAAAAGTTGAGAGTTGGCCATCTTTTTGCTTTGTGTTGGCGTGAGCGTTGTCGAATTTTGGCTATGTGGACGGCTGCATTTGAATTCATGTATTCATAGTCAGCTGTTGAAGCGACGCCAACGCCAACGCAACGCCAAAGTTCTATGTGGACGGGCCTTTACAATAAACGCTTTGACAGCTTCTGCGTTCTCCTTTTCCTCCATATTTTATCCGTGGAAAATAGATAACAATGTAATAAGATGCATAAATAATAGCAATAATAGTTCGTATTTACCTTATTTTTGTCATTAAATGCAAATGCAAGCGCGCGAGAAAAGGTATATGCAGACAGCTGATTGCCCAAGCGCGCAAAAGTTGAGAGTTGCCCATGATTTTGCTTCGCTTTGCTTTCTTTGCCTTCTATTTGGCAAGGCTCAAATAAAATCATGTGTTGAGCATATCTGTCAAAGCGGAATTATGAAGCAAAGCGAAGCAAAAGTCGTATGTAAACGGCCGATTAAGATTGCCAGGTTGGCACTTTTGCTACGAACATATAAAAGGAAATGAACACAATGGCGCATATTCATAGTCATATTAAGTACTCAACTAAAAGTGTGTTTGCATTGTTCAACTTTGCGTTCAACATTTGCGTTCAACTCGGCGCAGGGTTGCACGAAAAAAAAGTTGAATGGCTAAAAATATCAAAATATGAAAAAATATCAAAATATTTGCCATAAAAAGGTGTTTGCATTGTTCAACTTTGCATTTGACTTTTGGTTGAATGGCCTTTCAACTAATCGCTTTCAACAAAGTTGGTCGCCAGCCAACATTTAGCCATTCAACTTTTTTTTCGTGCAACCCTGCGTTGAGTTGAACGCAATTGTTGAACGCAAAGTTGAATAATGCAAACACTGCTTAAGTCGAAACTATTCTAAGGGCCGGTTGCTCAAAGCCTGGTTGACACTAATCCCCGATTAAACATCGTTATCGACGTTACCTACACCGTGTTATATATATGGAGTCGAAAACGTCGATAACGATGTTAACCGGTGATTGGTGTCAACCAGGCTTTGAGCAACCGGCCCTAAGTCACAACTAAAGCTATTCATAGTCGCCTTAGTTTCGACTTTTCTGGCTAAGTTCCAACTTAATACTTAGTTTCGCCTGCAGCTGCAACTAAGTCGTAACTAGGAAGAAGTATTTTATCAAATTAAGGGAAAACAGACGAAATATGTAAAAATTAAGTTGGTAGAGGGTGATTTTGATAATAATGAATAAACTCCAATTAAAATTTACAAAGATCGATCATATTAATCGGAAAATGAAATTAACAGCCTTAGGGCCGGTTGTTCAATGTCTGATTAGCACAAATCGGAGGTAGAAGCTCCGGTTAAGCACAACTACTGCTTTATCGATCACATTTTACATGGATGATGTCGAAATCGTCGATAGTGTAGTGGTAGTGATAACCAGACATTGAACAACCGGCCCTTATTATGTATATCGAACGATAGGCTGCACGAACGATTCGTCTGTAGCCGATATCGTCACGAATTGCCATTTTGTAACTCTGTCGTTCGTCTTCGTCTTGTCTTTAGGTCGATTACGTTGCAATCGTCTCGGTTATGTTGTATGATTTTGCCGGATGAAATTTTGATGTACTTCCAAAGAGTTTTTCTTAGATTTCTAATATTTTCAGCTTATTTCAATGCTTTTTATTTTAAATGGGCAACATCTGAATTGTTTACATTTTGGTTTTGCTTAAAAGTGTTTTGGTTGTGTTGCGGAAAGAAATATAAGGAAAATTAATTTTTAAAAATGTATGCTGCTATAGCGCTAATGGACGCCGAGGAATCCGATGTAATGGAACTACCTGAGACTGAGTAAGTTCAAGATAAGCAAATAATTGTTGTATGCTACAATGTATTCGTTTCTAGATTTGTTGCAAATTTCCGAATCAATAAAGAAATATTCCAATACATATTAATGGCCGGTTACTAAATGTCTGGTTAACACTTATCTCCGGTCAAACATAGTTATCGACGTT